ATCAGCACAAGATAATGACAATATGACGACACTTTTTAAGTGCAATAAAAATCAGACCAAGATGTTACAACAGCACATATCATCCCCGGTAATGTGACATGTGACTTTAATGATGTCCGGTGTTATTTCAGAAACTCTTGTTTGACTTTAATGATGATAATGCCTCCAATTAAAGTCAGAATTGGACACTTTTTAAGTACATTCTACATGAATATTTTACAAAGAATATCTCCAGTAAATGTACTTACATTCATTTGTAAAACATATACTAGTATTGAGATGTTCCCTATTTTAGTGTTTTCCACTGAACACATATGACAAACCCTGCCATGCCCTCTAAAATGAACACCTCTTCATATATAGTTATTTTTATCTAACCAGACGGATCTTTAGAGTAAACCTACTTATGCTTTCTAGAGCATATAAGACTGAGTTGCACAATTTGAAGTAAACATACAACTTACAAAATATATAGGAAAAGATTTTTATACAACATTTGAATCATCTATAAACTAGCTACAACCCTGTTTCCTTGTTAATAACTGGTATATATATAATACATATCTATGAGGTTTAGCAGAAATGTATTTATGTATCCTCTAGAATACATGGAATATAAAATAGAATCATTCACATTGTTTTGCATAGTTGCCATAAATGCACTATTCATTAAAGTTGCTAAGTGAATGATGACTTTGAATAGAAAAAGTGTTGTGTAATGATACATCTGAAATTCATGTCTGTTTACTCAGGTCAAGTTTCCCAAAGAATATAGTCCATGATTAGTGCTGGTCAACTGTAATCATGGCATAGCAATAAGAAGCATGAATGATACTTGCTTATTGTATTATACAGAAATCTAAGACCTTGAAACATGCATGAACAAAAATAATAGATTTGGCAATTAATTTCATGTATAAAACCCTCAAAGTATAATCAAATTGGGACCTAGATTTTATGTAAAAACAGTGAAAAACTAGGTCCTAGAAACGCCATAGTTTGTACTTTTGCAATGAGAATACTAGATATAGTACATAGGTCTACAACGTACATAAAATTGACCACCTTTATTGGGTTCTACACACATTACTTCACTGTTGAGTGAATACAATAGAAATACAATATATAAGATCCTACCATACATTGGTTCACTCCCAACCTGTTTACTGGCAATAGATGTCAGCACTGAGACTCTGTTAAATACTTTATAAGGTAGTAAGTACCCTTGTCAATTGTCATGGAGTCTTTGGATTTTTTGATTTTTGTTATGAAATTCGTTCAAGTTTAGCAGATGCAGTAATTAAATCCAGGAATAACATTGAATGTGCACTATGCTCTTGATTTTAGAACATTATGATTGTTAAAAAACTTTGAGTAGTCTTATATGAGTTATGACCCTGAGTGTTTTGTTGATATTGTTGCATATCACCCTGTTTCATATGTATATAAGTTGTACTTCAGTTTACAGAATTTGATATTGATGCTCTATAAAAAATTGTTTGCGACCCCCAACCATGACATATTGTACAAGGATATATAATGCTTTCGGTATAATAGCCATATAATACATGGAAACATGTACAAAACATACACAATAATATGCTCACATTAAAATACAATGTAGTTATAACATGGAGAAATCACTCATTAAAACAGATTACTTGATTTCATGGTATGAAGAAATATAAATCGTCAATGAACAATTTATATTTCAAGTATTATAATAAAACACCCCTCTCAAGAAAAAGAATGAAAAATACTAAAATTGCCATATTCCAGATACAATAGTTGAATACTGTGTGAAAATCTTGTGAGAAAATATATTAAAAATCACAGTAACATGTGAGGCCATTATCTATTGACTTACAGACTGTGGTCTATTATTTCCAATAACAAAATAATCATGTATGCACACCCTATGCAGACAGAGCCTGTGGGAAATATTGGGTGGGGAGCAAATGAGCGGAGGGTGCGGAGCTAACGGTCATTTTTGAATTTAAATTTGGGATATTTCTGGAACTAAGCCGTTTTGGGACTTCAAATATACCAAGATATGTGTATTTGACACCAAATATCAATACGATTGTGAAAATAGTAGCGCAATTCATTCTATAGCGACGCAGTGTGCCTTAAACCTTTCCCAGACCTATATATTTTGATATTATCCTTTTAATACTGAGTCCCCAGCATTCATAAAAAATGGTGTTCAAGGTACACTATCTATACAAATTATTTTTGCATCTTGGAAGCCAGGCAGTATCAGTGTGATTTTATAAAAATTCGGAAATGTTTTTCAGATATGAGCCCCCTCTAAATATTGGGTGCGGAGCAGCTCCATAAACGTAGCTCCGCACCCAATATTTAGAGGGGGCTCATATCTGAAGAACATTTCCGAATTTTTATAAAATCACACAGATACTGCCTGGCTTCCAAGATGCAAAAATAATTTGCATGGGTAGTGTATCTTGAACACCATTTTTTATGAATGCTGGGGACGCAGTATTAAAAGGATAGTCTCAAAATATATAGGTCTGGGAAATGTTTAAGGCATACTGCGTCGCTATAAAATGAATTGCGCTACTATTTTCACAATTTTATTGATATTTGGTGTCAAATACACATATCTTGGTATATTTGAAGTCCCAAAACGGCTTAGTTTAAGAAATACCCCAATTTTAAATTCAAAAATGACCGTTAGCTCCGCACCCTCCGCTCATTTGCGCCGCACCCAATATTTCCCACAGGCTCTGTCTGCATAGGGTGATGCACGGTTTATTGCAAGCCTGTTATTTTTTGTGATTTAGAATTCATTTTAACCCAGTGCTATGCTATGATATGAGATCAGAAATCTCATTCAATGTTTTCATAAAAAATATGACCATTACTTGGATGTAAAAATTGCAATCAGAAGATATGGTACAATTCACTCACACAGTTCTGGTAAAACAATAAAAGCTCACATGATTTTCTCACAATCACAGGGTATAAGATATCAATTTCAGCAAATTCCAAACCTCAGAAGTTACTATGAAACAAGCCTCCAAACATAGTATCATATTCAAAAATGGTACTTGGAATAAAATATACATAACAAATGTAGGTGTAAATGGACAAGGAATTATAACAGTAATGTTAACACTTGTAAATAAAACTCCAGTATAAATATAATAATTATTGTACCATGAGGAAATAATGTTAAATGTACAGATAAAGTATACTAGTAGTATACTATACAATAAACAAACACACACACACACAGTCATTAATGTGTTAAACGTAATAAAAAAGCTGTTTGTTTAATTGATGTTGGTCAAACCTTAAGATGGTCAGCATGGCTATAGCAATGTGTATATGATAATACACATATACATTCATAATTTGAAATGTTTTTAACAATTTTCTACCAGTCTTTTCACATTTTCATTACTAAACAAAACAAACACAGCAAAAACAACATTGTCTCTGAAAAAATATAACTGAAAGAGCAGAATTGAAAAACAAGCCTGATAACATATTATACTGGCAAGATTCAATATCAATAAAAAACAACTTATTTAGAGATTGATCGTGAAAAACAAAAACTATAATCTGACCTTTATATGGATGAGAAATTGAGATACATGGTGGGTACTCTAATAGTTACTTGATAATCAGTAATATAAATCACTTAATGTAAAATCAATTCAATCAAAGAAATAACAATGGTTGAAAACTGAGCCGATGATGCATTCAACATCCTCGGTGATATACATATACATAAACCTGTCAAATCTGAACACCAGAGGGACTGATCAAAACTGTTCACAATAGCGGGTGTTCACATTTCAGGGTTTTTAAATATGTGAATCAATGGGGGATAACAAATTTGGGACGAGAAAAGTGTTCATATTGAGAGGTGTTCAGATTAAAGGTATGTTTGATTATACAGGTTTCACTGTACAAACATATATACCCGTTGTATATGTCCGTTTTCTGACATATGGGTCACTAGCTATACAGGTTTTTACTGAACTATACAATTTATTGAATAGTTGTATAGTAATAATAATTATCTATATGGATATTTGTACAGAAGTAGCATAAAAAGATTTATGACATTGTATTGTTGGATTAACATTGATGAATAAAGTTATAATCACTCTCGGTACACCTGAAATAAGAACATTCCAGAGGCGACAAATGAACCCTTACTGCCTTTCCCTCAAATAACATATACTTTTTAGTTTTTTAAAATATGAACTTTAACCCAGTTCAGATTTCTAAAGTTACTCTCCATATTTAAGTGTTTTTTAATGAATTTATGTGAAGATTCCTCAATTCTGAACAAAATGAACAAATGTTAAGTGATAGGTGGTGTTTCCTTGATGAAATCCAAATACTAAATGATCACAAAGCTCATGAACGATCAGAGGCCATCATATTTACAGAGACATTACGAACATAATAATAACTGTAAAGAGCAAGAGAATCAGGTTGATCTCCTGTTATTGATTCTTATTACACATGTGTTATTAATTGGCCATGTTTGAAGATTAATAAAAGCAGTGAGTTATACCAGCAGGTTCCATCATTTACATCAAATGGAGATTTTTTGTCAAACAGCTTTTATAAATGTTCAATCCTTTTATTTCGTATGTGTGTGTGTGTTTTTATTACCTCATTGACAGCTATTTATAATATCATTCTTAAAAGTGAAATAATAGAACTAGAGTTTGGCATTATAGGAAAATGTGGCAAATAATATAACAGATGAAATCAGTATCAGTCTAACCCGTAAGGAAATATAGAGCGCACATACTTTCATAAGGCTCATATATTTTCTTGTAGATGAGCTCCTATTTTCATACAGAGCTCATATTTTTCATATATAGAGCTCGTATATTTTTTCATATATCATAGTCATATACAATATGTTCATATATTATGTATAATATATATATTATCATATATAATGATCATATATATTTTCAAACACAGAGCTTATATATTTTCATATAGAGAGCTCATATATTTTCATGCCTTATAGGTTTTACTGAAATATACAGTAAATCGTATGTGGTAGATTTCATGCTCAGACCACACTAAAGAACAGTAAACAGGTAATACAGTAAAACCTACTTCTGTAAAGAAATCTCTCAGAGTAAATTTTTAGCCTCAGGAGTTACTTTAGACAGGTTTTACTGTATTTAAGTACTGTAGCGTACATTAGTGCACTTTAAAAGTAAAAACATATATGTATGTGTTACATAGAAAATCTTTCATTTTCATGTGTGAAAAATCTTTGGTTTTCAGTGTCAAGTCAGATTTGACCATACCCATGATAATTGGGCAATTGGGTCTTAACTGGCCTATATAAGACATTCAACCAATGGCATTGTAGGTCAGAGTTGAGTGTTCGTGACACAGGCCTGGAGAAGCCTTCTTATATGCAATGATGACTATATACACTATGATACAGTTGTGCCTAACACATTAGAGAATTTTATGGACGTGACCTCTTCTGAAGCAGTAATTGTCTCAGAGAATTTGCTTCTTCTCGTAGTGTGGCCACTTGAGCGCGTAAAATTGCATTTTCTTTTTCCAAGAAGCTGGCTCTAATAGCGATTTCATCTTCCCGGGCTTTCCGAGCATCCCTTGATTTTTTAGCTGCCTGGTTGTTGCGCTTTCTTCGGTCAAAATACTTGTCATCTTTTGCATCATCAGGGATTGGTTTCTTCTCACTGCGGGGACGTTTCTGTGACTGCTGGCTGATGGCAACAGCGTGTGCAAGAGCTGGGGCAGAACCTGGAAGACATAACAATATTTAAATTAACACCTGTTGGTGTATTGAGGTAAGACAATGTGGTGTCACAATGAAACAACCAAACATCCCGTTGTTAAGGCAATTAACATGAGGAACCTGGCCTTGAATAACCCAAAGTTATCAACATGTAATACAAATCAAGGTCACTTTTATCATAACATCTGATTCAACTGCATATAACCATGTACAAGACATGGACATGTATTTTGCAACCTAAAAGCAACATAAAATATATAAAAACACATTTTAACATATTAATGTAATGTTGAAGATACATTTTAAATGAATGGCCTAATCTGCACATCCCTAATGGCTGTGTCTGTATATGCAAGAACAATACATTAACTTTATCCCGTTCCAGGACTATAGTCCTGTACGGAGCCAATACATTTGCCTGTACGATTACAACTTGGGAGAATTATCTACGCCCCTTCCACTTAAGAAACCTACCTCAATGCATTCTACAACTCAAAATGTAACTTCTAATATATTGGAACCGCCGATTGTCTGGGTTAGTTGGCAGAACGAGGTCTTTTTGTTTCTTATGGCTCTTTTGGTCGAAGTTCGATTAAGATGGCGGTTATAACGGAATTTTCCGAACTCTTCCGTAATAGCACGAACTTGGTTTTTCGTTACGTCACTTCCGTGTAAAATGGATTTGTTTCGGGTAAGAGGACAATATTTTCAATATTTACTGCCATGTCGACATCCTATGCTCTTAACTGTATACCGAATGGTTAAACAATGTTTCTTACCGGAAACAAATCCATTTTACATGGAAGTGAAGTAACGAAAAACCAAGTTCGTGCTATTACGGAAGAGTTCGGGAAATTGCGTTATAACCGCCATCTTAATCGAACTTCGACCAAAAGAGCCATAAGAAACAAAAAGACCTCGTTCTGCCAACTAACCCAGACAATCGGCGGTTCCAATATATTAGAAGTTACATTTTGAGTTCTAGAATGCATTGAGGTAGGTTTCTTAAGTGGAAGGGGCGTAGATAATTCTCCCAAGTTGTAATCGTACAGGCAAATGTATTGGCTCCGTACAGGACTATAGTCCGGGAACAGGATAACATTAACTTAGTTCTGAAGCCATCAATAACCATAATGCTGTCACTTTTGTCAACTATTACGCAGAATTATTGTAATGGTTAACATTTGTATGACATTTCCAGTTCATCAAAATGAACCCTCATGGTCATAGTATAGGTCAGTGACAGGACTGTCATAATATAAATCTAGCTGTCAGTGATCATGACAGGATTACTGACAGGATATTGTAAAAGTACACCACACCAATTCAATTCAAATAAAACTAACTTATGAATGGGTGTTTTGATTTTCTTTTTAAGTTATAGTTATAAGTAATAGTTAGGTTTTAGGCGTAAATCCTCATGTAAAGCTCTTTATTCTCTTCATTTTTTTAACATGAATACCAAACCATGTGATAGTTCAATTTGCAATGTTTTCGCAAATCTATACTATGCAAAAGAAATAACATATGCATGTTCTAACCACTATCAATTTATGATGATGTGTTCCCAACTGGTTATATTGCAAAATGTCACCACCTGCCATTTCTTACAGATGACAACTGCCAAACACTGACCGCTAAACACTTTCCGCAAAAAGGTTAAAAACAATAATAATACATAAAACATTTAATGTTTTAAATTAATAAGCATAGCGTTGTTGTATAAAATGAATTTGCAATGCATCCATCAATTACATGCAGTCAAGTTCACTTCCAATTAACTATTGGGCAATATGTTACATTCAGTATTATATAAGAAGCCTGAGTCTACATTAAATATCCACATACAATCACATGTACTGACACGCTTAGTTCAGAGAACATAGGAAGAGAACATAGGGACAACTCAAGGGCTCTGTCAAGTGTTCTTGTTCAAATATACTGTTAGACCAATTTTCCAAAGTTCCAAACATTCCCTTTTCAAGATCAAGAAATAATCCTCTGGACAAAATCTGAATTCTTATACTCAAAGGAAGTATCCTGGAATTAAATATTTTCAAAGAAGGCTGCCAGGACGTCTCTAATCCCAACACCTCTCAATATGAACACTTTTCAGCCCCATTTTTTAAAATTGCCATAGACGTCCATGTTAAAAGACCTCTCAATATGAACACTTTTCAAGTACTTTTGGTTGGTTTAGACAGGTTATACTGAATAAGGAGCCCTTAACCAAAATATCAAAAAATCAAAGTTCCTGAAAGTATTCTGAAGTTGTAAAAATGTGGAGCATGTTAAATTTTTAACATGTTAAGTCAAAATGAACTTTGCTGAAAATAATTGTTTGAAATGAGCACTGAGTAAAAGTTACAATAATGTTTCAATATTGGTCAATTCTGGACTAACAATGACGTCAGGAAATGACCATGTATTATATATATTCATATAATAGACCCCATAATCTATAAGTAAATAAAAGTATGAATGTCTGGAATAATAGGTATAAGAAAGCTCAAAAGAAATGGAAATGTGATTAATAAAGATTATTCTAACATTTCGCTGCTAAAATAACGGATACACAAGAAATGACAAAACACTTATTAACCACTTCATTATTTTGAAGTTTGTATATAAGAAAGGACTGCAAACTGAATTTTTGAATATACAATGAAAATGAAACAGGAAAAACCTAATACATAAATTCTCAGACAATTAATCAAAGTTCCATGAAGCAGAGTATACTTAGGTCAGTGCTTATAATAGATATGAGTCACTATCAAAACTGAGGTATGTGGCATTATCTAATGCCAGTGACCCGTTATGATCAGGTGTTATATACTGTGTCTGTATACTTTAAATTTTATAGGCACTCCAAGATGACCCCTGCATTATACCCCAGTCTCAAAAGCCCATCCCTTTGTCCCCTAGCCATACTGTCATCCAGTATTACATCACTAATTGAGATGGTCACTTTAGTATTGAATTCGGCACTTTGTTCATGACAGGCCCTTACATTGTCAAGTTATCATCTATTTGGTTTGGATATTTATCAGTGGTTTATAACATGAACTGTTGACCTGCAATAACTAGCAAGATTGCAAAACCTTATGTGCATGTTATAAGCCATGAGAATTACTGTTTTAATTACCATTACATTAATGTTGGGTCATCGGCTGGTCAATGTCTATTACAGCATAATCTCCTCTTTGCCGATACCCGCCTAAGCTATTTACAGACAATGTTTGCTCTTTCAATGAACATATGTAATCTTATGACTGAACATATAGATTTTATTGAATCATACATTCGCTGTTTGGATGGTTATATAGTGACCACCAATATTACAATCAGTTATTGTAATGTGCGTTCACTAGTTTAGCCGCCAGCATTTGTATACATAACACACATATAACGTCCACTAAAGCCAACTAATACCAAATGTGAATATAACCAATAGTTAAGATATTGAAAATAGTCACATATAGCTCAAATTTAAAAAATAGAAATCTGAATATCTTGCTGTAGTAATCAGTGTTTTTTGTAGAAAGATATCATATTTTTGGCAAATTTTTACTAAACCATCAAACACAGGTTTTAAACATTGAGATTTATAGGATATCCTATGATTTTGAGGAATACCATTTTTATCTACGAGGTGATATTGATATCTGCACGAGAGAGCGAAGCGAACGAGTGCATATATCAATATCACCGAGTAGATTAAAATGATATTCTGAAAAAAATCATAGGATGTTCTTATTATCCTACACTTACAAGGAGTGTACTAAATGTATAATAATATCATTGCAAAATGAATTTCATGCAAAACAGAGTCACTTTGGCGGGAAATCAACAAGCGGGGTATATCGTCACAATATCCTCCGCATATTGGGTTTTCTTGCAGATATCATATCCATCATGGATAATAATCATATCACGCATACATTTCTAGATATATCCCCATCGAATTAATATCTGGTTGTTTTTACAACATCTTCTATTCCAGTCAAGAAACTGCAAGCACTGCATCTGCATACCAATGAAGATATAAAAATTTGGTTTCATGAAAAAGTTAATAACTAGAGATCTAACGATCTAAGATTGCAAGCAATCTTACGGAGGCCCCGTAGATACCACCTAATTTGATGACCTTGACCTTTGACCATGAAAATTTTACTTTTTCAGAGCTCAGTATGTCTTTTGTGATTAAGCGGACTTTAATTTGAATCCAAAAAGTCAATTTGTAAAATCAACTTTTTTTACCTTTCGAAGGTCACAGAAGGTCAACTAAAGGTCAAAGGCCAAATTTGAGGTCAGATTTGAACTCCTGAGACTTTGTAGACGCTTTTTTTAAAAAAAATTGGTCAATTTGAAGCAAGTTGAAATTGACCATGAAAATTTTCGAAATTTGACTTTTTTTCAGTCCTTGAGTCTTATATCTCAAAACTGGTGCAAAATTTTAATAGATAGTCAATTCCTTATATGTGAAGTACCTCTAGAGGAATATATATCCTGACTTTCAACCAAAAATATTGATTTGTAGTCTCGAATTTTGAGAAACTTAGATAGCACAGTTTGTGACCTAATTTGATGACCTTGACCTTTGACCTTAAAAATTTTACTTTTTCAGAGCTCAGTATGTCCTTTGTGATTAAGCTGACCTAAATTTGAATCCAAAAAATCAATTTGAAAAATCAACTTTTTTGACCTTTCGAAGGTCACAGAAGGTCAACTAAAGGTCATAGGTCAAAACTAAGGTCAGATTTGAGTTCCTGAGATCTTGTAGATGCTTTTTAAAAAAAAAATTGGTCAATTTAGAGCAAGTTGAAATTTGACCTTGAAAAATTTCAAAATTTGACCTTTTTTCAGTTGTTCAGTTCTAATATCTCAAAACTGGAGCAAAATTTTAATAAATAGTCAATTGCTAATATGTGTAGAACCTTTAGAGGAATATATATTCTGACTTTCAGTAAAAAAAATTGATTTGTAGTCTCCAATTTTGAGAAAC